AAAACAAATGATTTGGCCATTTACGTAACATTCAGCGCATGCTGGTTCAACTACGTGCTTTGTGTCACAACATGTCCTCGTATGTTAGGACTAAGTATGACAGCATGGATTCTACATTATCGTTTGTTTTGTTTTCTTGCATTTGATTACCAATTCTATCGGAGTAATTTTCAAATAAGTATCGAAAGTACTTCGAGACTGCACTAGTTTTCCTTTGCTTCACTCCGAGTTGGTCCAGGAAACTTGCACCAGTCATTCAACCATTCGGATATCGAAATAACTCCATGGTCAATCACGCCTGTATTCTCCAGCGCCCTAGGCATTTTTGTTGTTCTAATTTTGAATTCTCGTTAGCTCTTAAAGGTATTTTCCTTTCTTCTGATTGACTGTTGTGACTACTTTACTTTTGGTTCTACGATGCTCAATCAAAAAGCGGACTTCATCTTCGCTAAAGAAGACAACCTCGTTCTCAGGGCGCTTTTCCCTTGAAAGAGAGGACGGGCGGGAAAAGGCCGTGGCATCGGCCGGTCACATGGTGATCTTAAATATTCATTCCAGTACTAATATATGCATTCCTTTGGGAATAAAGATAAAGACAGACTGGCATGGACTCCCCATGTGGCTTTTTTGGTCGCTTCGCATTAACGCCACAGCCTAATTTATTACACTCAGGTTTTTCCTATGTTGGATGCGCAAGTGACCGGCCGAGACCAGGGCTTTTTCTCAGCGATTCTTCCTCTCTTTGAAGGGAAAAGCGCCCTGAGACTGAAGTTGGGAAGAAGACTGGAAATAAATGATGGGTGTTTGTTTCCATTGCGAGCATCTCAAAAAGTGCTGTATCATATTTTTTCAGAATACAAAGACGCCTTTTGCTTGTTTGATCGCGACAGCAATGGCTACATCACCACAAGAGAACTTGGTTCAGTTATGCGATCCTTAGGCTTTAATCCGACTGATCAAGAGCTGCAAGTCATGATCAACTCAGTTGATTACGACGGTGAGTGTTTCTAAGGGAGATAAGAGGGTAGAGAGAGGGATGATCGGAGCTTCGTCGGAGCTCCGACGAAAGGCAAACGCTTTGAATAATTATTCACCGAAGTGGCACGGCAAACAAACTAGCGTTCACCCTACGGAAAACGAAGGTTGAATTCACGGAAAACGGAAAATGCAGCGATCTCACGCTCGGGAAAACTGTAGTAAAATGTTGAGGGAAACAAGCTATACACTAGGGTTTTCGTGGAGCAGAATAACAATCGACAAACACCATGTTTTCATGGGATTTACCGTTGGTAATTCTGTGGGAAAACGCTTGGAAAATGCAGCGTTCGCGCGCACTGGAAAACTGTAGAAAAACGTTCAGGAGAACAGGCTATTCATTGGTATTTTCCTGGTGCTGGAGAACTTGCGATGAACTTCGTGTTTTTCTTGTATTTTACTGAGGGTGGACAGTGAATTTTCCGTACGTTTTCAGATATCGGAAAACGTTAGTTTCGTGTTGAATTTCTCAGTTCGACGCCATTCCAGAAAATTAACAGTGAACCCGGACGGTTTTTTTTTTTTTTTTTTTTTTGCCGTGTTAAGGTGAACATAGGTGGATATAAACATCCGCCATTTTTACCAACACTTTGGTGAATGATTGTTTCATTATACACCACACAGAAACTAAAAAAAAAAAATCAGTTTATATCTGTCAATATACTGAAACATTGGTCGGAAATTAAATTGTTGACGCGCCATTTCGTCTCTTTGGCTGCTCGGGGATTAATAGTACTTGTCAATCACTTTGGAACCAGCAAATCAGCTCGCACCAAAAGAACCATCGACCTGTGTGGTATAGACCTACATTGCTATTTTTGTACTCACAGACACACATACACACACTTACACACACACACACACACACACACACACACACACACACACACTTACACACACACATATACACAAACACGTTTACAACTATCGTAACGAATGCCGAACGTGAGCGCTTACTCGAGGAAACACGCTATTTAAGTTTACTTTACACATACTGAAGTTTTTACCCTGAAAAGGTGCGAAAAAATTTCCATCACAAGACTGTCGAATAAGCTGAGAGCCAGTTAAATGGCGCGTATCTCATTTTTCACTTGTGAAGAAAACGATACGTCCAATCTGGAGCCGTGTATCCTGTGTTTTTTTTTTGTTTTTTTTTAGGTATGAGCTGTACCAAGACGATTTTCCTTTAACCTTTAGTGGCACTGTTTCTCAAACCTTCGGAAAATTCTGCTCTCGGGACTGTTTATTAAGTTAAGCGAAGACTTGAATGTTAATGTTGACAGAAAAAGTTGAAAATTGAAAATACAACTTGCATGCTGAAAATAGACCTCGAATGTTGAAATTAAAACTTAAATGTTGAAGACAGACTTATATGTTGAAAATGAAACTTGACTATTGAAAATAAAACTTGAATGTTCAAACTAGACTTGAATTTCGGCAGGGATTTTAAAGTCATCGAAGCAGAGCTAAAGCTGTCTCGTGTTTCTCTCTTCACATCTTTCGTGCTTTTGCCAATTCTTGCGGGGTCTACAACAAAACAGAGCAGCTCAAGGCTTCTCTATTTGTTATATATACATTAGCAGTGATCACTATTATCAAATGAGGCAGCGCTTATGGAAGACCGATCGGAGAGACGGCAGAAATCGACCAAACTTTTAAATATATCGGAAAAAACTGGTATAGGTGTTAACTAAAAACCCACGCCATTCGCATGTGCCGTTACAACCTTGACAACATCTGGCTTTCGGGAGACACGTTTTTCGATTTCAGATCTGAATTGTTCATCAAATACAGTGCTTTCATTTCGCACCGATTCTTGTTTGAGTAGCTACGTGATAAACATTTGCAAATAGTAAACCGTATCTTCCTACAAGCTAGAGAAAAAAAAATTCGAACTTCGATGAAGCGTGTTATGAAAAATTCTGGGATAATTGTATGTACTAGGAGCAACGTCATCCTACCTCAAAAAGCAATAAGAATTTGCTCAAAATTTAGATATCAAAAATAATAAAAACTGACCAAAACATACGCGATAAAATATTATTAACTCATGCGTTTTATCTGCCGCTTGGATTTCTAATGTTTTGCATAAAAGTTGTGCAATGGGAAAGTTAATTGCCTTTCGGCCAAAATGCATCGCCTGTTCTTTTCGTCGTTAGCTTTGAATTACTGAAAGTGATATCTAGAGATCAGGTTGAAGAAGGGAGGTTAATGTCTAAAGAAAGTGGGGTGTTGCGTCGGTGAGGGGGTATTACAAAGAAACTTTGGTATTATCAACTTAGATGGTAATATAAATTGCCCACCGTAAAGACTTTCTCAAGTGGACGCCTCGAACGTTAGCCCTTGATCGTCAGAGCGAAAAAGGCTTTGAGCAACAATGTACAATTACATACTTAAACACGTGAATCTTTAACTGTGTTAATCTTATCTTTGGACAAGATATCGATATGATACCCTCTTTAACTACACCATTCGATACTTTCGTTTATCGTTCTGAAGGTAATTCACAATTAATAACTGTGACTTAAATAATTTATTCTTATTCTGTATTACTTAATACTGACTACATGGTCTCGGGTGCGATCATTCCCAAGACAAGCACACGTATTTTTTGCTATCATCGGCTGTAATTTGTGCGAGGAAAAATAATATCGAAACAAATAAACAAAGAGAATGAAATTTAAGTTCAATATCGATACGGATAAAAATCAGCTAGTTTAAAGTCGTAGTCATCCCATATTTTAGTACATCGTGTCCGTTCCCTGGCCTTAAATTACCGTATTTTTAAACAGTTTTCTTTAAGTAATCATTGTCGTAATGAAAAAAATTGGCATTTTCACTTTGATAAAGCTATTTTTTAACGTGCGCGTTTCTTAAATATTCCCATCGGGTACTTTTATTTATTCATTCACAAACAAGAGTATAATCTCTCCGTTCACACATTGACTCTTTGTTGATTTTTTTTTTTTAACTCATAAAAAATTGTCTTGTCAATCTCTTTCCTTAGCTCCGAATAACAATAAAACTTTTACAAGTAGATACTGAGGTTACAACGGTGAAAATTGAACTTCTGATCGGGTACTTTTAGCCCTTTGTATCCGAAACTTAAATTATTCTCAGTTATTCTGTTTGCCTCTTCCTCAAACCACAAACGTATGCTTACAATGAGCTCCGATAAGTATGGATTCGTTTCGGTGGACTGAGCATGTAAAGAAGCTATGAGTAAATAACTTCAAAAATCATACCGGTGAAATTTTTAAGACAAGTACAGTCAGTCGCTAAATATATCTTTTTTTTTTTTCGGTTTTTTTGATGCATAAGAACAAGCTTACTTGATATACTACTGCCTTGGAAGCTCTGCCTTTTAAGTTTACGTTGAAAATTCTAAGGAAGCGGAATGAGACAATTTTCTGCGAAGCATACAATATGTAAACATAATGTATAACTGTATGTGGGACAGAGAAGTGCGAAATGTAGTTTTTGATCACGATCGAAATAAAAGTTGAACGCTGCAAAGAATTTTCTATTTATTAAAAGATATACAGATAGTTTAGGATGTCACTACAGCGCCGTGTGGGAAAACGTTGTCAATAAAACGACTTCTCTTTTCCCCAAAGAACTACGCCGGTAGCTCGATGCATCTACCGTTTCTGACGGTGCGACGTTTACCCTACTACACAACATGTGAATGTAGCGTTGAGTCCAAAGTAAAAAACATGAGCTGTCGAGACTTCCTTGCTAAGAGGACGTAGAAGTTGAAGATTTCACGTTTTCGTTTTGTATAGGACGCCTAAGAAATAAAACAAGTTTTAAAACGCCCGTGCTGCCTTTTGTTTTGCTCATTAGATTTGTTTTGTTCCTTACATCTTTTGTTTGGCTAAGTTCTCATTGTCGTCAAGTCTCTATTTCTAAGAACGTGACGTTAGTATTTGACAAAGTGAGAGATACGCTTTTGAAATTCTTACGTAAAAGGATGACTGGGGGCGTGTGATATTTGCACACCCGTGTCACGCCTACGAAAAATAACATGTTAGGGGCATAAAACGACTGGGATTTGATCAAACTAAGCCAGAACACAAGAAAGCTTGAAAATTTGAGCCACGAAGCAGTCTAATATGGTTTAAAGCAATTCAAAAGATTGACAGTAAGTAACATTTATCTCTGAAGCTGAGATCACTCGTTTAATGCATTCGACGGCAGCAAATTAAAATGATGCAAAGAAAAAAAAAAACACGCAAACCTTTTTTTTTTAAGTTTTTACTTGAAACAAAACTTTTTAGATGCCGAATGCTGCGAAAAAAACAAATATATAAAAAAATCATGTTTCTACGGAACAGAATAATTAACGATTTCTGTTTTTTAAAAAAAGGAAACGGTGTGATCGACTTTCCAGAGTTCGTAAAACTTATGGAAGATCAAAAGAAACCCGACGAGAGAGAGGCGGACATGATGCTAGCGTTTCGAGTCTTCGACGCCGACAATAAGGGATACATTGAATCAGCGGAGTTGCGCTACATATTACTCAATATGGACAAAAGAATCCCAAGAGAGGAACTTCAGGAGATGATCGTCAGTGCCAAACTGGATGAAGATAAAAGAGTAACCTACCAAGGTGAGTTGAGAAAAACGAGTCGCTTTATGTCTATAATTTGCAATAAACAGCTAGCTGGCCGCCTGTACCGTAGCCTGACTAGGTGACCAATGCAAAGAATCATTCACATTTAGTGACTGAGCGACCGATCAAATGACTTACTTATTGAGCGACCGATAAACAGTACGGCGTACTTTCATAATAAACAACTGTACTGTATAACAATGCTATACTCGATAGGAGCCAACCTAGAAAGCTTTGATAGTTAAACACGTTCTCCTTGTCAGTACAAAAGGGGATGCTTAGAGTACAATACGGGGAATATGTCTAAGTGTTAAGATGAAAAAGAATAAAGGAAAGAGTTACTAAGAAATACTTGACATTGATTTCTACAGAATTTCTTGCCCTTCTTGAACCACACGGTGAGACATAAAATCAGCTCCTTGTGGTTAAACCCTAAGAAGTTAAAAGGTACTGAAACAACAGCATCACACTGAGTACGTCTGCTGAAAGTCCACCCTCGAGCTGCCATAACAACTGGAACAAGCCAACCCGACGTCATCCAGCAATTACTATATCACTTTATAAACTTCATTTGCGGAAAGAAATTCTAATTCATATAAGATAGTTCCAACCCTCTTTTGTTCCTGTGAGCATGAGCGTTTCATCTTTTACAGATACGCGTTTCATTTGCAAAAAGTACACTTTCGTAGATTGTCCTTATAAATATTAAAACTTTGCCTACGGACGCCACAGCAGAGACATGGCACACCGTGACGGTAACAGCCATGGTGTGTGACGTCATAGTGACCCAGTTAGTGAGTTGTTATCAAAATGGCGGCGAGGTAGGTGAATTCTTAAAAAGCAATTAAACACAACCTTCAAAAAATTACGTTTTACTTTTAATTAGTGCAGCTCTCTTGAGGTGATGAATAGTAAATTTTTTACATGGTCTTATCAAGAGCGAAGATAAAGCTTGAGCATACTTTTTCTAAAATGAAATAAAGGTACTGCAAATCAAATTTATGCAATTGGACAGCTTTGCCTTGAAAGAAGTGCCTTCAAATCAATTAGAACTATTATTTACAATAAACATCAAGCATATGTCTCTTATATCTCTAATAAGTTAACCTGAAAAACACATTCTAGTTAATACTAGATAAATCACAACAAACTCACCTCTGTAAATATTAACTCACGAAACAAAATATGAATTCTGAGAGATAAAAAAATACGTTAATAATATATTTGATTTCATATTTAACCGTTTTTCATTTAACGCTTTTTAAAATAATGAAAACAATTTGCATTAAAATCACTATTTCTCTGACTGTGTCATTCCAGTTTATACCAATCCACACTATAAAATAATAATAATAATAATGATAAAAAGTCAAGTTTGAAAGAAAGAAAACTTCCTCCTTTTTCACACAACCTAAAAAAATAAAAGGCCTCCTTGGAATTCCAAAACCCTTCACATTCACAATGAAGAGAACCCTCATAATTTGTATAAAAAAAGAGTTTTATGCGCATAAGGATAAAATATCATTTTCATATCATAGGTTTCGCACTAATGGCCCCCGTTTTAAAGCAGAGCCCTTGTCGCCTATAAAAACTCTTAAATTAAAGTTTTAAACAACTTTTAGCTAAAACATTTGTTCAGCGCTATCAGCTAAGCATCGTGAAAACCGAGGTTAGCCAGACATTTCAATCGCTTAACTTAGATAACATTTACCTCACAAATCTCGCACAGTGAGCGCTCCTTACAGTGCACCTTATTCTCATTTAAACATGACGTCTGAGAAATTGGTGTCAAGTTAAACAGTGCTCCTTGATTGATAAAAGGGGGTAAGTGTCTAGAGATAGTGGTAGTGCCGTTGCGTCGGTAAGGGGGTGGTATTCCGAAATAATTTGGTTTTATCGATTGAGTTGTTAGTTTAAACTGGCCACCGTTAAGTGTTTGTAAAGCTGAGCGTTAGCCCTTCGTCAGATAGCGAATATGGGAAGTGTTGGTTAACTAATGTTCTTCTTTTGCCTCGTTATCTTTCTGCTTGACAAGACGTTGATACTATGGGGCTACTCACTCTCGGGAATGAAATCGTTAAAAAAACCGAACAAACAACAATAACACCACAAAATTGTTCTCTAACGTATATTATAAACGGAGTTGTTTCGCCTTATTTCATCTTTCGCCATCTTTTTGACATTCTCTAAAGTTCTGACACACTCTAAAGATAAGTTATTTTAGACGCTATAGCTTCCTTATCTTCATTCTTGTAAGAATGTAAGTGTAACTTGTAAAATATAATTTTCAATATGGGAAAATAAAGTACATTTGTCTCCCATTAAATGTACCGAAGAAATATCTTTTATATCCTGACCAAATGCTGAGTTGCCTCCTTCATAACCCTCGTCTCCGCAATTTATCGTGTCTGGTCAACAACTGTCCTTTATCAAGAGCTACTTCTTGGCGAAATGTTGACAACGATGCCATTTTTTGCTCGGAGAATCAAGTGAGGCTGAAGATCTTCGTAGTCTTGTATGATGTTCTGAGGGGCAACACTGAGTTCAAACCTGTATTTTTGCCAAACAAGACAAAAAAAAGGTAAACTTTGTAATAATAAACACGAAAAATTATGCTCGCTTGATTGGATGAAAACGAGCGCATTTTTCATACAACACGAGTGCAAAGTTTGAACACGAGTGCAAAGTACAAATAGCGCGCGCGCTGTCAAAATTTCGCTTGTTTCAACTTTCTGCGAAGCTTTTTTCATGTAAAATTATTAATAAGTAACAACAAGATTTCTCGTGCACTTGTAAGTTTTTCAAAGAATACAAATTTTGTTGTCTTCGACTCGTGCTTGTTAACACCAAATTGCACTAGAAATTATATTATTTCCTGTACTAACTGCACTTGTTTGCATCTCATTCCTAACACATAGTGGCGCTCACATAAACCCACGGTCACGCTCATCATGAACAAGCACACACGTTGCTCGCACACGCATGAGGAAAAGTGTGTGATCACGTCGCGAATAGGTTTGGATTTACATCTCAATGGTTGAATAGACAGCGCGAGTTCGTCCGTTCACAAATCACGGAACATGGTAGACTAAAACCAAGTCTAGTCATTATTAGTCAAGATTAGCTAAACGCTATTACTTACATTCGTAAGATCATTGCCACTGTAGTTTTCAATTCAGCAAGAGCAAAACTTTGTCCAATGCAGTTCCTGTAGAAACAATAATGATGGATACGATGAGCAAGTGAAACATTGTTATCAACTTTGTGGTAAAGCAGTATTTCCTTTTAACCCTTTCCACCCAGCTAACATCAGAATGGATATCCTCCATACTGTTCTCTATACATTCGTCCTATGGTTCTGATAAGGAGGATTCGCTTAAGTTGATGACGATCGTTTCTTTCATTCTCGTGACTTTAATGCTTGACTCATTATTGATACTGTAAGAAGAGATTAGCTGCAAGTCAGTAAAAAGAAGTCAAAGGATTGACAAGCAAAAGTCCATTTTACAGTTGTGTGCTTGGTTGCGAAGCCTTTGAACGGGAGTGAGGCTAGGGGTGACCTTGTTATGATACAAACTTTGCTGTCTCTCAAATGTAAATCACTTTGTTATCATGCTAACTAGATACAGGTCTCTATCACAACAAGGTCACCTTCAGCCTCACGCTGAATCAAAGGCTTGGCAACTAAGTACATAACTGTAAAATGGCCTATTGACTCCGTCCAACTCGATTAGCCAAACTGGTATTTAGATTTACTAAGTCATTCTTTTACTTTCCCTCTTCAAAATAAAAAGAAATCAGCAGTGGTTTAGCGTGGTTTGTGCTCTTAT